AGTTTCAGAAAAGTATATTTTATTTTTGGGATATTTTTAATACAGAAAATTACATTGCCATGAAAGATGACTTAGAAAGGGCGCGAATCAGCTGTTTTAGAAAAAAAAAATACCACTTCCAATCAATATTTCTGTTTGAAATACACTAGAGCATTTTGCTTACTGGAAATAGTAAATTTATTCCTTTTAGCCTTCAATTAAAGCTAAAAATGAAAGCTTCAAGAAAGATTTTTTTTTTTTTTTTTTTTTTATAAAAATTTATTTTAAACCTTAGATAGCATGAATTAGTGGAGGTACCGACTTAAGATATTTCTCGTTTTTTACACACTCCATCCATGGTATTCTCAGCATCCTTCTGTAGAATCACATCTGTTGTCTCATGTCTTCATCTGTGAAGAAATTGTCCAGCATATAGGAAAATTGATATTACATATCAGTTCAGCACTTTTTCTTTGTTTCTAACAAGATTTTTCCTCTTTTTGAGTACTTTGCTTAGTTTTTGGAAGGCGTCTCTTGCTATTCAAATGTGCATTTGAACTTCTGTGTCACATTTTCCATCCTCTGTTAAAACACTTCACATATATTTAAATATCTGTGACTGTTTGATTTCGATATCTCCCATTCATAATTTGTGTCTTGGGCTTTTACTCTTGCTGACAACCATACAGTCTTACAATTGATTCGATAAAGAACACAAATTGTGTGTAAATATTTATTCCAACTAATTTTATATAGAAATTTGGTGTTTAATCACCATTTCCCCAGCTGCCTGTACCAGAAATATTCAGCTTATCATTCGTGATTGCAGTAGAACTAAGCAGGGTGATAGTAGAGTAGTGGTAACATAAGTGGGATTTTTAAATTATTTTTTTAGGACTGCTTTCTGTACATGTAAGTACTATTTTCAACTATGTGCTGTGTCCCCTCAAGACTTAAGCAATCATGGCTCAACATGATTTCCTGTCCTTTGTAACTTTTAATATAAATTTTGTCTCTTTGTTATTTAAACCTTGTTCCATCATGTATTGTTTTCCTCTGTCCCTCTTGCTTTCAATCTGTCCTGTGAGTATCAAATTTTATTTTGTCTTGCATAAGCAGATCAATTTATAATTAATTTATATAGCAGACTGAACCCCGCACTTAAAATTTACAAAATTAAATAAATGATTTGTAGTGAGAGAATACACTTACCTCGCATGTAAATCCAACATGGCCAAGAGAGTGAGGAGCATCCATTTGTAATCGTCCCACTACAATATCTCTTTTTAATATTATTATTTGCATGCGTGATTGGAAATAGTAATAGTGGATCGCAAAGTCAGATGGAGGGCAAACTCGTAAAGTATGGAGCATTTGTTTGGATCAAAGTGCATAGAAGTTTCACTGCAAGAGTTGAACCATGTTGATTTGTTATGTGAGCTGTGCAATTATGTATTTTGACCATTGACCCCCACCCCCAGGTTTGTGATTTAACTTCAGATATATAAAACGGGGAAAAAGTCACTGTATCACAGCTCCTCAGTGCAGCTAGACAACCGAATGCCTCAAGCCTGGATCGAAACACAACCAATTTGGTGTCAGTCAGAGCCTCTACCACTGAGCCATCTTCACTCGACAGAATGAGTCAGCCAAATCTAGTGTATTTTTTTTTACAAACATAAACAAATGCCAAGCAGCTTCATTCATTTTACTGAAGAACTTCGCATTTACGCAGGTGACCATTGTTTTTAGAATTAGCTTGTCATTCAACAGTGCTCAATTGAAAATATATTTTCAAGAGTTTTTTTATATATATATATATATATATATATACATATACACACACACACACTTATGAACTGGTTGCGCTTACTAAATAGTAATATGATAATAGAGGGATAAAAGAAAAATCTTGGAGATGTGTTTTTGTAAGGAGGTCAGTTGTCATGGGCCAAATTGCCCAAATTAATATATATGTAATGGTTCAGCAGATTCTTCGTTTCTCTCTTTTTTTTTTTTTGCTACCCACATTTGTCAGTCCTGCTACAGTCCAGATTTAGTTCGTTTTAACACCTGTCATTTTACAAAGCTAAAATTATGGACAAGATTAAAAAGAATATAATGAAAGAGCTGAGTTTAATCCTGAAATAGGACTTTGCAAACTTTTTTTGTGAGATCCCGATGTGTGTAATATGAAGAAGACTAAGACTCTATTACCTTAGACTCTTTTGTTAATAATAAATGGCTGGGCACAGGGTCGATACAAAGGTCTTGTGCCCCACTGCCAAATCTATAATACAGGATCCAACTCTATATTATCTCAATTTTCATAAGGTAGTATTCATATAAAATACAAATTTTATTGTAAACTAGTTGTGTACAATAATGGATCATATGTAATATAGGTAAACAATTCAACTAGAAAAGTTGAAAATAAATACAATGTATCTAAATAAAACTTATTGCAATATATCATTCCATCTAAAATAAATCGATGTTTTGCAACAATTTTTAACATCAATTTGAGATTTTTCTTGTTAAAAACATTATGGATAAAAAATAGTAAATTTCATATAGTGTTTTTTTCAAGCCTTAGCATGAACAAAACAAATTCATGGGTTTGAGAAAAAAAACAAAAAAAAGACTCCAGAATGACATCAAAATTTGCACAAAAACTTTCATCCTATAATAGTCAGTTGTTCTTAGACTAATTTGTAATGTACAGTGGAATCTCAGTTCACAAATTTAATTCGTTCCAGAAATCCAATCGTAACCCGAAATGTTCATAAACTGAAACTATTTCTCCAATAGGAATCAATGTAGAGAAAAAAGTCAAAGTACAATAAAATTGGAAAAGAAAAGCACGGCACAACACACGAATGTATACAACATGGCGGTCAATTCAGAAATTATTCCATTCTGGTTAACTCAATTCGACAATGTTGTTTGTGAACTGAAATTTTGTATGATAACTGAGGCATTTTCGTCTCAAATTTTCTACTCGAAAATTGATTTGTTCAACATGTGAGATGTTTGAGAACCAAGGTTGCACTGTATATAGTTGTGAGTAGAAAAAAAAAAGCAAATGTTAAGATAGCAAGGATCACCAAGCACTGCCTAGGCCTCCCAATCAGGATCTTCCCCCTCTGATCAGTGGAGTAGGGGTAGTATGCACTGGCCCTGGTGAGGTACATTCAGTACATGCCTTGTGTGTGTGATATATAGGTGAGAGTGGTTCAGTGGTTAGAATATTAATATTCCAGCCATGAGACTTGGGTGTGAATCTCACCATGATCGATTTGTCAAAGAAGTGACTTCCTGATTAGATTAGCATGAGAAGACAATTCTATCCTCTTTGGGAACTCCCTCAAAAATATACTTTCCAATGGTATCACATGCTAGAGAACCCAGCCTGCTTTACTTTTTAGTTCATTAGTGGAGAAAACAGTTTTGTCTCCTCAATTTCACACACAGGTTACCCCAAAAGCTTGTGAGTGAAATTGAGTAGACATAATTGTTAAGAAGCCATTGGATAATTTTGCTAGCAGAAAGTCGCAAGTCATTGTGACCAAGGGTTTGAACATTGCTCCCTTGTTGAAATTGGTGATCACACCAGTTTATGTGCTCTATCCCAGAAACTCTAAGGACTCCTCAACTTGTGCAGGTTAGTTACTTGGAATGCGAAATTGGAGTGCAGAGTTCAAATGCTCTTAGAGTTCATTACATTGACATTTTTACTAATACCCTTAGGAAAGATATGAATACATCTTTTCTCACTCTACTGATGGGCTAAAGAATAGGGCAGGCTGGGTTCTCTTGCCTTGTCTAGAAGGACAATTTTGAATTCAAAACAATATATAGCCCTGGTGAGGCATGTACTATACAGCCATTGAAATGTTTATGACATTCACAACTGCAATGTGGGGTTGTGGACCATGAGATCTTGACTGAGGTCAAATAAAAGAAGGAATATTAGCTTTATTTTCTTTTTTCTTAATTTTAAATAATCATAATTCATCATTATTGTGTATTAATCTGAGATTTTGGAGTCAATTTCAGGAATTCTTTCAATTTTAACATTGAGAGATAAAACAATTTTTGGCTTTTCAAATATTGGCCAAATGAAGAAACTGTTCCAGAAATTCAGATGTTGATCAAATTTTGGAAAGTTGGTCTTTTCTGCACCTCCTTGTCACAACATAATAATGATATAATCATGTAATGTCATCATAAAATATAGTACAATATGAGAATCATCATCAATTTATTATGTGGTTTATTACAATTACTACAATAATTATTGCAACCTGTCATCTGCTTTTCCAGTTTTTCATGAAAATGGCAATGATAGTGGTATGTCTTTACTAAGTGCTTTCTCACTTTTAATGTGAATGTTTATCTGTAAGAAAGTGAATTTCTATAGTCTACATCTGTAAAGGATGTATGGGAAAGGTTGCTGCAAAGCTTTTATCCTAACAAAGAAGAGATTCCGAAAAAGATGTCTGGTCTTATTTATTTATTTATTTTTTTCAACTAAGAGCTGAATTTTTTCACTGTGTAAATTTTTTAATTTGTTATTAATATTCACTATCGATTTAGGTGCATTCACGTTGAAGTGTTGATTCTGATGTCCGCACTATCTGTATTTACAAATGCTCAAAACCTCCAATGTTGAACACACCTCACCCTTGATGAAGCTAAGTTTTTTGCACTGTGTGTGTATATGCTTATATGTGTGTATTGATATATTTCAGTAACATACCTCTGAAATTAATTTAATCTTATGCAAATTAAACATTGTCATTGTAACAATCTGTTTTTTTAACTTTCTCAATAAATGTTAATTTTTTTTTTTTTTTTTTTTTAATATAATTATGTGCTTATTTTAATTGATGCTGATTTTAGAGCTATTTATATTTTTGTCACTTTTTTATTTTGTTATAAAGGTGGCTATCAAGATCATTGACAAGACACAGTTGGATGAAGCAAATTTAAAGAAAGTCCACCGGGAAGTACAAATCATGAAACTTCTTAAAAATCCACATATTATTCGCCTGTATCAG